CTATATTTCTGTGTATAGACGTTATGTTAATTATTCCTAAATTTTATTTTTTTTAATTCAAATTAAACCATACCATACATATAGGTCTGACTTTTATGACTAAGCAGTATGTCCCAGGTAGCTTTTCTTGTCCATATATAGAGAGCTATTTCACTTTTTTTTTCTTTTACTACTGCACAGTATTTCATAATATAAATGTTCTGTGGCGTGTGTGTTTTTCAAGCTCTTTATTTACAAATATTTTTCTACGATTAAAATAATACTGTACTCAAGAACCTTGAATTGTATATCTTTGTACTTTTATAAAAGTAACACTGAAGTATGGACTACTTAGAAGTGAAATTGTTGAATCAAAAGCTATAGTTTTATCAGTTTTTTTTTTGAGAGAGAGAGCATGCTTTGTGTGCACACTGCTTGGGGGAAGGGTGCAGAGGGAGAAAGAAAATCTTAAGCAGGCTCCATGTCCAGCATGGAGCCCATCTCCAGGCTCAATATGATGACCCTGAGATCATGATCTGAGCTGAAATCAAGAGTCAGATGCTCAACCGACTGAGCCACCCATGTGCCCCTATAGTTTTATCAATTTTAATTTAATTTTTGAATAATTACTATATTCATGTGATTGTAAGTCAGAAGATGTATAGGGAAGAAATTGCATCTCACCTTTGCCTTTCAGCCACCCATTTTCTTTCCCCATAGGCGACAATTCCAATTAGTTTCTTTTGTATCATTCCCAGCAATATTTTGTAATAGTATACAAGTAAGCACTATTAGATACTTTTGTTTCCCATTTTTTTACAAAAATGGTGGCATACTATCTACCTGGTTTTGTGCTTTGCGTTTGCTTAGCCAGCAACATATCCTGAGATCTTTCCATAACAGTGCATGAATTATTATGTTAATATAGAATTATACCGAAATAATTATAATTATATAGTCATAATTATTAATCATGAATGGCTGCATCTTATTCTGTCCTATGAATTATTATGCATTTAGACCACAACTGATGAACATCTAGGTTGTTTCTAGCCTTTTGGTAATACTAACAATGCTGTTATGAATAAACATGGTATATCAGTGAGATAAATTTGAATATGTGAAATTACTAAGGATTTATGCATTTTTAATTTGGATAAAAGTTACACAATGCATAGAGATGTGAAATTTTTTGTTTTTATTTATTTTTTATTTTATTTATATATTTATATATTATCCTATATTATCTCTGCTTCTTCTGAGTTTGTTTTTTTTTTTTTTGTAAGTTTGGGTTTTTTTTAAATCTTCATGTTGGAGATTTTCTTCAATGTGTCTGGTGGTCTTTTTGTTATCTGTTCGTATTTTTAAATGACAGGTTAAGTTCCATGTATAGCCAGAGCTTATCTGCTATTGGGCTTGACTTTTAGGTGAGCAAGCTTTATATTGAGAGATTTCTAGATGTCTCTGTGTTCTCCAGGAATCATTCAGTTCTTCAGAAGGATTCCTCTAAACTTCTATTTGGGGAGCACACACTGGCTGCTGGTAGCAGTTCTGGGCCCTGGACCTTAGATAGGAAAGGGGGAAATGGACTCTTCTGTTGGTAGACTTTTAATACATCTGCACACTCAGTGTATTCCCTCTTCCCCTTCCCACAACCACCCCAACTGGCTTTAGATTTCCACCTCACTTTTGCAGTCTCTGACTTCCACCCACTCCTTTAAAATTTCTCCGAAGTATTAAGTTATCTGCCTGAGGAATTGATTTCTGGCTGCAGTTTCTCTGTGCCTTGAGGAATTAGGGCGGAGGGGCTATTGTCTCCTCATATTAACTTTTCTTTCTTTCTCTTTTTTTTTTTAAGCATGTGATCTCTCCATCACATTTAGACAGAATCCTTCTTTATTTATTTTGGCATTTGGCAGTGCAACACAGCATATGATTATGTAACTATCTCAAGTTTTCTTGTCTTTCAGACTTGTCTTGCAGACTGATCTTAACTCCCCATAGTAACCTAGCACCTAGTAGACAACTTGAACAGTTTCAATGAATATCCTTACAGCCTAAGTCAGAGTAACTTTTAGATCTCTGAGGCAGTTCTGTTAACAGACATGGGCCCTACAGTAAAGTTCTCTTCCTCACCTCTTATTTGTTCTGTAGCTCACCGCATTCTGTCTTCACGAAACTTCTATAGGCAGAGATCATTAAGTTCTTTAATAATTCAAGTTAGTGAATTTGATGAGATAATATAGTAAAAGCATTTTAAATGTATGCTTAAGAATCTTAAGTTAACTTTATTAGTTGCATGTTTGTATGCATTTCTCCCACAACTCATGGAAAGAAATTATTATCGAGTGAAGAAAACAAAATCCCTGCATATCTTTGGAAACATATTCCTAATTTACTTTACCTCTGGCACCCCTCCCTCAAACACTATTGAATTTCCAAATTTTTGGTTAAAAAATAAGTTAGGATGGGTGCGCCTGAGTGGGTCAGTCATTAAGCGTCTGCCTTCAGCTCAGGTCATGATCCCAGGGTCCTGGGATCGAGCCCTACATCGGGCTCCCTGCTCCACGGGAAGCCTGCTTCTCCCTGTCTCACTCCCCCTGCTTGTATTCCCTCTCTCGCTGTCTTTCTCTCTCTCTCTCTCTTTGTCAAATAAATAAATAAATAAAAATCTTTAAAAAAAAAATGAGTTAGTATGTGGTGCCTGGGTGGCTCAGTCAGTTAAGCATCTGACTCTTGGTCTCAGCTCAAGTCATGATCTCAGAGTCATGAGATTGAGCCCCGCATGGGCTCCACATTCAGCGTGGAGTCTGCTCAAGATCCCCTCTCTCTCCTTCCTCCTTTGCCTCTCCTCCTGCTCTCTCTCTCTAAAATAAATAAAAATAAAAATTGAGTTAGGTGTATTGGTTTAAAATTTGTTGACTAAAATTAAATGAGTTTATAACAAGTTCTTAGTTCTTCCCTGAGTATACTGTTTCATCTAGTAGCCAGACTGGAGATGACCAGGGGATACCTATTAATGCACCTGTACTCTGCAGAGTTCATAGATAATCTGCAAAGGAGAGAAATTATGTAGATAAAATTGTCACTTTAATGTAGTTGATTTCAACCTTAGCTAAAAATTGGAATTACCTGGGGAGCTTTGAAAACAAGTCCGTTTCCCACCCCCTCACTCCAGATATTCTGATTTAATTTTTGTGGGATGCAGCTGGGCATTGGGAGTTTTAAAAGCTCACCAAGTGTTTTACCATGAAACCAAGGTTGACACCTGTTTCTTCAGAGCCTTGGTTCCCAGCTGAAGGTGGTTTTGCCCCCCAGGGGATATTTAGCAATGTCTGGAGACATTTTTGGTTGTCACAATTGGGGTTTATTGCATGCATCTATTACAGGGTGGAGAACAAGTGCTGCTTAACATCCCACAAAGCACGGGACAATTCCTCACAACCAAAACTATCCAGCCCCAAATGTCAGTAGTGTTGCTTTTTAGAAACCTGCTTCATACAATGCTGTAGCTAATTACCATTTTATTGGAGCTCTTACTGTATCTATGAATTTGATTGTTCAAGCCAGATATTCTGTATTCTCTAGTGACTCTAGTCTGGCCTCTTGGAGTGTGTGTGTGTGTGTGTGTGTGTAAGATATAAATATACATATTGATAATAGCAGTATCATGGATATTTTAAGTCTCTTTAAAACCTTGAATGTCCTTAGTTTTTCCTTGGTATTTATTAATTGTGTGACTGATAGACTAGCATTAAAAAAGCACTTAATGTGCTAATACATTAGATGCTCTTATAAAGCCAGTTAACTAAATTAGCCGTGTAATTGTAACATAATGGTAATAATCAAGAATCTTCATATTTATTTCATTGCATGTTACATGGCTTCTTTTTATCAAATAGCTGTTTTGATGGTTGGAAATGAACTATTTTGAAAAAATCATTATTCAAAATTTAATTAATGTATTCAATTATGTATGAATTTTTATTTATTGCTGCCTAACTTCAAAAAATTTGGTAAGAAGGGGCGTTTGGGGTGGCTCATTCAGTTAAGCTGCTGACTCTTGATTTCGGCTCAGGTCATAATCTCAGAGTCCTGGTATATGTGAGGCCTGCGCTCAGCAGGGAGTCTGCTTGAGGATTTTCTCTCTCCCTCTCACCAAAAGAAAATTTGGTGAGAAGGAATGCTAATGGTAAATTAAATTCTAACAGCTTAAGAAAAATGCCCTCTATTATTTTTGCCTGTCTAATTAAGCTCTACAATGATACGTGTGGATAAGAGGAAGAAAGACGCTGACCAAGATCAAACTCATTTAACTGGGTAGCTCTAACTTGGGCTATTCCTGACTTGGAGTTTCTCTTCCCTGCCCGCACTATTTCTACATACCTAGTAAGTTTTTGCAGTTAAGATAAAAGTAGTCTAAGAAATTACATAGGCGCTATTTCAACATTTTTATTTTACTCTTTTAGATTTGCTGTTATATTTAGGTTATATTATTATGTTTAGATTGAAGGGTAAAGGGTACTCGCAACTTTTCAAAAGTCTTTAACAAGATAGTGCGCTTGGATTTATTTTTATTTATTTATTTATTTATTCATCCATTTATTTATTTATTTATACTGGATCACTTTACTAAGTGATAGGGAAATTAAAATGAGGATAAAAAAATACATGTTTAAAGGAGAAGAGCATACAGCAAGGTAGTCCTCCATGGGCCATGGAAAAGGAGAGGCAGATTAGACTGAGCTCTATTAAGTCAAGAATGCCAACAGGGAATTAACTATAGAAACAAAAGTCTTAAGCCATTTTGGTTGGCAAAAAAAAAAAAATCACATAAGCTGTTTTAATTAGGAAAATTTACTGTGGGCAAATATGAATGTATATTTAAGAAAATAAGCTGTATTACAGGATAGAAAGTTTTCAGCTACCATTTATATTCTGGGAAGAGTAGCCCAGTGTTGTGCCATGGCAAAAAGATCTACTGTAGTGGATACAATCAGAAAAACACAAAACTAGCAAACTAACTTTTCACCATCTTATCAAACCATATTGCTGCCAGGTAACGCAGCCTGAACTTTGCCAAGTAGACTCTGCAAGACCTTAACACATTCCTAGTTTGGGGAATATCATTACTCTTTTAGATGTCTTCACTCTCTGTTCATTACTATCATCATCTATTTTGAAGAATAGCTTTGTTTTCAAGGCAGTTTCTCCAACACCCTACTATAAAAAATTTCAAACATAAGAGAGATGTTGGAAGAATAATATAAGAATATCCAGATACTCACCTAAACTTAAGCTTTTTTCCTATAACATATGAAAATAAGTTGTGGATATGATATGTCTAAGGATAAGAACAATTACTTATAACCATAATATTTTTATCATATCTAAGAAAATTAATGGTTCTACATTCCATCTATTCTCTGGTTTGGAGCTATTTTTAACATAGAAAAACATTTTTGTCATTTTTGGAGACTGCATTATGTCTTAATGATTCGAGAACAGTGAAACCTTACTGAGATGCAAATGTGATTTGCTAGCTCATATCCCAACAAATGAGTCACTTCCACTTCTATCTTAAAGCATATGATGCAGATTTATGTAGCAGCAAAAAATCTCAATTTACTGCATGTCATAGATTAAGAAAATTATTCACAGATGGATGAAATTATAAATTTTTGTTCAGCTTTTTAGATTTTATCTTTTGAGATATAAATCACATATTATAAAATACACTGTTTTAAAATTGCACAATTCAGTGGTTTTTAGTATATTTACAAAGTCGTGCATCAGTCACCAGTAATGCCAAAATATTTTCGTTACTTCCCTAAATTCCATATCCATTAGCAGTCATTCTCCATTCTTCCTTCCTCCCAGGACCTAGCAACAACTTACTACTTAATGGCTGTATGAATTTTCCTGTTCTGACATTTCGTATAAATGGGACTGTACATTATATGGCCTTTCCTATCTGGCTTCTTTCACTTAACAAAATGTTTTCACAGTTTATCTATGTTATATTATATATCAGTACTTCATGCCTTTATAGCCAGATAATATTCCATTGTGTGAATATACCACATTTTCTTTATCCATTCATCAGTTGATGAACATTTGTGTTGTTTCCACTTTTTGGTATTATAAATAATGCTGCTCTGAAGTTTTTCTGCTTCCAAAGTCTCTAGGGTTTTGTATGGGCATGTGTTTTCATTTCTCATGGGCATATGTTTAGGAGTTGAATTGCTGAATCAAATGGTAACTCTCTGTTTTAAGTTTTTGAAGAATTACCAAACTGTTTTCGAAAAATGGCAGCACCATTTTACATTCCCACCAACAACATATGAGGGTTGCATTTCTCCACATTCTTGCACACACTTGTCCATAGTGTTTTTATGATAGCCATTCTAATGCATGTGATGTAATAGCTCATGGTTTTGATTTGTATTTTCCTGGTGACTGATGATGATGAGCATCTTTTCATGTGCTTATTGGGCATTTCTGTACTTTCTGTGGGGAAAATATTCATTCTCTTTCTGTGGAGAAATAATCATTTCTCTGAGAAATACTCTTACCATTTTTAATTGTTTTTTTTATTGTTATGTTTTCTCTATATATTCTGGATACTAGATGCTTATTAGATATATTATGATTTGCAAGTATTTCTCCCATCTGTGAGTTGTCTTCATTTTTTTGATAGTATCCTCAAATGAACAAGTTTTTAATTTTTATTAAATCCAATTTATTTTTTCTTTGGTTACTTGTGCTTTTAGGTATCAAAGGTCATGCAGATGTGTACTGTTTCCTTCTAAGAGTTTTAATAGTTTTAGCTCATACTTTTGGGTCTTTGCATTTTGAGTTAATTTTTGTACACAGTGTTACATAGGTACCCAAATTCATTCTATTGCCCATGGATACCCAATTGTCCCAGCATCATTTGTCAGAAAGACTATTTCTTCCCTATTGAATGGTCTTGTCACCCTTGTGAAAAATCAGTTGACTGTAGATATAGGACTTCTAGACTCTGAATTCTGTTCCATTGTTCTATATATCTTTCTTTATGCTACTCTTACACTGTCTTAATTAATTGAACTTTGTAGTAAGTTTTGAAATTAGGAAGTGTGAATCTTCCAAATTCATTCTATTTACAGATTATTTTGACTCCTCTAGGTCCTTTGAATTTCCAAGTGAATTTTAGCATCAGCTTGTCAATGTCTCTAAGGACAGAAGTTGGAATTTTCATTAAGTTGGCATTGCAGCTGTAGATCAATTCAGAAGTATTGCCATCTTAACAGTGTTACTTTTTTAATCCTTCAACATGGGATATATATCCATTTACTTAAGTCTTTAATTTTTTTCAAGGATGTTTTATAGTTTTTATGTATACACCTTACACTTCTTTTATTAAGTTTATTCCTAAGGTGTTTTTTTTTTATGATATTGTGAATGGAGTTACTTTTTAAATTTCATTTTTGATTGTTGCTAGTGTATAGGAATAAGAGTAATTTTTATATATTGATCTAATATCCTTCAGTTTTGCTGAACTAGTTACCTCTGTGATAATTTTCTAGTACATTCCTTAGGATTTTCTGTATATAATATTGTGTCATCTGAGAATAGAGATAGCTTTACCTCATTCTTATCTGGTTTTTATTCCATTTTCTTGCCTAATTGCCCTGGCTAGAAACTCTAATACAGTGTTGAATAGAAATGGTGAGAGTAGACATCTTTCTCTTCTGCCCAGTTTGAAGAGGGAAGATTTTAGTGTTCCACCATTAAGTATGATGTTAGCAGTGGGTTTTCCAGTAGATGATCTTTATCAAGTTGAGGAACTTACATTCTGTTACCACATTGTTGGATGTTGAAGTTTGTCAGATGCTTTTTCTGCACCTGTTGAGGTGATCATATCAGATTTTTTTCCTTATGCAGTTAATACAGTATATTACATTATTGATTAATTTTTGTATGTTGACCCATCTTGTATTTCTAGGATAAATCACACTTGGTCATGGTGTATAGTCTTCTAAATATGATGATAGATTCAGTTTGCTAGTATTTTGTCAAGGATTTTTGTATCTGTATTCATAAGAGATCTAGGTCTTTATTTTTATTTCTTGTGATGTCTTTGCCTGATTTTGGAATCAGGGTAATGTTGGCCTTACAGAATGAATGACTTTGGAAATATTCCATCTTCTATTTTTATGAAAGAATTTATGAAGGATTGGTATTAATCTTTAACTGTTTGGTAGAATTCAACAGTGCGAGACCATCTAGGCCTGGGCTTTTCTTTGTGGGTACTTTTTAAATTACTAATTCAATCTCTTTTTGTAGGTCAGATTGCCTTATTTCTTTTTGAGTCCGTTTTGGTAATTTGTGTCTTTCTAGGAATTTATTTTGTGTAGGTTATCCTATCTGTTGGCATACAGTTTTTCATAGTATTCTCTTATAGTACCTTTTATTTCTATAAGTTTACCTATGAGATTAGTAGTAATATTCCTCTTTCATTCCTGATTTTAGTTATTTGAGTCTTCTTTTTTCTTACTCTTGGTCAATTTAGCTAAAGGCTTATTAATTAGATGTGTTGATCTTTTTAAAGACTCAACTTTGGGGTTTGTTAATTTTTTTTCTGTTGGTTTTCTATTCCCTATTTCATTTATTTCCACTCTAATCCTTATAATACCCTCTTTCTGCCTGCATTAGGTTTGGCTTCCTCTTTCTTTTCTAATTTCTTAACATGGAAGATTAGGTTATTCATCTGAGAACTTTTTAAAAATGTATGCATATGCAGCTATAAATTTCCCTCTAAGCACTACTTTCACTGTTCTATAAGTTTTGGTATGTTGTGCTTTCATTTCTCTTAATCTTGAAGTATTTTCTAATTTTTTTGTGATTTCTTCTTTGACCCATTTATAATTTCTACATATTTGTGAATTTCCCATTCCTTTAGTTATTGCTTTCTAATGCCATTCCATTATAGTTGGAGAAAATACATTGTATGATTTTATTCCTTTTTAACATGTTGAGACTCATCTTATAGCCTAATACTCTGTCCTGGAGAATATTTCATGTGCACTTGAGAAGAAGGTATATTTTACTATCACTGGGTGGTGGAGTGTTCCATGAGTATCTGTTAGGTCGTTGGTATATACTGTTATTTATGTCTTCTCTTTCCTTGTTTATCCTCTTCTTAGTTCTCTCCATTATTGAAAGTGGGGTACTGAAATCTATAATTATTATTGTTGAATTATCTACTTCTCCCTTCAGTTTTGACCATTTTGTTTTATGTGTTTTGGAGCTCTGTACTTAGGTGCCTAATAGGTTATGACTGTTATATCTTCTTGATAGATTGACCCTCTCATCATGAAATAATGCATTCTTTGTCTCTAGTAACAATTTTTGTTCTAAAGGCATTTTCTCAGATAATAGTATAGGCACTCTTGTTCTCCTTCAGTTACTTTTGGCATGCTGTATCTTTTTCTGTCCTTTTACTTTGACCTATTTGTTTCTTTGAATTTAAAATATATATGTAATATGTAGATGACATATAGTCTTTTATTCTAAATCCATTCTGCCTCTCCCTACTTTTAATTGAAGAGTTTAATACATTTACATTTAATGTGATTACTGATAAAATAGGATTCACATTTGCCATTTTTGCTATTTTCTATATGTTTTATGTCTATTTTTGTTCCTCAAGTCCCCCATTACTGACTGTATTAAATGGGTTTTTTATAGTGAACCATTTTAATTCCCTTGTTTCTTTTAATATATATATATAATAAATTATTTTCTTCTGTGGTTATCCTGGAGATTGCAGTTAACACCTCAATTTATAAAAAGCTAGTTTGGATTAATACCAGTTTAATTCCAAAAGTATGTAAAATCTTTTGCCTAATATATATCTGTTCTCTCCCATACCCCTATTCATCTTATGCGTTATGCACCTGTCAACACAGATTTGTATTTGGTGCTTTATGCAGTTGTCTTTTAGATCAGGAGAAAAAAGGAGTTACAAGCAAAAAATACATTTAGACTGAATTTTATATTTACTATGTAGTTACCTTTACTGGTGCTCTTTATTTCTTCATGTGAATTCAAGTTACTGTTTGGTGTCCTTTCATTTAAGCCTGAATGACTCCCTTTAGTATTTCCTGTAGAACCAATCTGCTAGTGATGAATTCTCTGATGTTTTTGGCCATTGAGGTCCCTACTCAGTTAGCTTAGTGGTCAGCTATTGATTGGACAGAGATTTCTTTAAACACCTTAAAGCAATAAATCTCCCAGTCTTTGCCAAAGGGCTCTGTGTGTGTGTGTTGGGGTACTCCATAAACAGTCATGCAATTGACAGCCCTTCTTTAGCCTCCACTTCCCGCTTTTGTGGAGCCTCAAGTTTAGCCAGAGGTGAGAGTTTAGGACCTTCTAGGATCTTGAGATGCACACAGCCCTTTGCATGTGCATTGCCTTCTAGAGTCCCAGGAATAAGACGGAGCTTTTCAGAGCTTCTGTGGAAATCTAACTTACCAGTTTTTCCTTTTAAGTTTTTTGGTTAGTCTGCCCAACTATTATCCACTATCTCAGGCAGCCACAAAGTTAAGACATTTGCCTGCAATTTTTATTTTATTTTATTTTTTTAGAGAGAGGAGAGGGGAGGGGCAGAGGGAGAGAGAGAATCTTAAGCGGGCTCTGTGCCCAGCGCAGAGCACAACTCAGGGCTCGATCTCATAACCTTGAGATTGTGACCTGAGCTGAAATCAAGAGTCAGACGCTTAAGAGACTGAACTACCCAGGCACCCCTGCCTACAGTTTGGTGTTTTTTTTTTTTTTAACAGTTTCCCCTCTGTACCCTTCCATCCACTCAGGGAGAAAGTTTTTTGCAGTAGGCAAGTTCTGAGACAGGTCAGATATAGCCAAAGATGGGGTCTTACACAGAATCTACCAGAGGAGATAAGTAATGACAGTTCTTTGGGATGTGACTTTGAAAGAGCTCCAGCTGTGTTATGTTTATTCTGACCACCAGGCTGGACTGGGGACTATTGGACTGTTACTTTTCAAGGCTACCACTAGATCATGAGGGAATCAGATTAGGGCAAGTTAAAGTGATACAAAGCTGTTCTTACTGAAAATCAGCCGGTTTTCTTGGATAAAGGCTCTCCAGTTTACTGCAAGCCTTGGGTTAATTTCCAAGGCTCTGAAAAGTTGATATTGACCAGCTTTGCCAGTTTTTCCACTGTTTTATGGAGAAGTGGATTTCAGTGGTCCTTACTGTGCAACTTTTATTGATGTCACCAAAACTATAAAGTTGAAATCCATGAATGTTAAAGGACCAGAAATGTTATGTGCAGTTCTAACCTCCACACTTCATTGAAAAGTTAACTGAAATGAACCAGCAAATGGAATAACCATTTTACCATAAGAAATAAAAACTGTTCACCTGGAAGACAAAAACCTCTATAAAGACTTTCTTAAAAGGCTATAAAAAGTGTAAACTATAAAAAGGACTTCTTCCAAATTGTATTTGATATTTCCCTTTGCTACAGAATAAAGTCCGAAGCCTTTATTTTTCAGAGGAAGGCATAATTATACAGTAGAGAAAGATTAGACTTTGAAACTAGCCACATTTGAGTCTGAGTCCTAATTTAGACATATGCTGGGGTTTGGAGTTGTAGGCAAGTCCTAAAGGTTACTTTAGTGTCAGTTTACTTCCTATCCCTCTATAAAATACCATACTATTTTTGTTAAGGTTTAAAATGATATATGCAAAATGTTTATCACAGTGCTTGGAACATAGTAAGCCCTCAGTATATGGGAGCAATTATTATCATTCCGACTCATCCACAGTCCAACATTTTGGCCTTAGCTGATATAAATCTTATTTTGTATAAACCTGACAAGAGTAACTGCTGTCCTGGCTTTATTTATTTTTCAATATTATATGAATGAAAGTATACAAGAATTTGGTATCTATGTTCTTTCTTACTCAACATGTTTTGTAAGTTTCATGCATTTTGTTTTGTGTGGGTTTGACTCATTCTGATAGCTGTTCACTCTTCCATTTATGAATATATGTTCTTTGTTCATTCTGTATTGTCTGAACATGGGGGGCTTTTTTTTTCCCAATTTGGGTTTTCATTTGCATTTCTTTGATAACTAAAGTTGAGGGCCTTTTTTATATGTGTCTTTGGCCAATTGGTTCTATGCTCTTTTTGAGAATGTATTTAAATCTTTGTCCATTTTTCTCTCCTATGTAAACATTAAAGGCAGGTTAAATATATCTCATTTTCTGCTGACATAGTTTCTAGAAGAATGCCATGCTGTACATGTTATATCTATATGTGTGTATTGATTTGAGATTTTATGCAGCAAATCTAATTGGGAACTGATGAGTATTCTTAAGAAGGAGCTTTGGAGGGGGCGCCTGGGTGGATTAGTTGGTTAAGCATATGCCTTTAGTTCAGGTCATGATCTCAGGACCCTATGATCCAGCCTCACATCGGGCTCCCTGGAGGCGGCCTGCTTCTCCCTCTGCTCATGCTTGTGCTCTCTCCCCCACCCCCAGATAAATAAATAAAATCTTTAAAAAAAAAAAGAGCCTTGGGGTACCTGGGCTATTCAGTCAGTTAAGCAGCCATCTCTTGATTTCCACTCAGGTCATGATCCCAGGGTTGTGAAATCCAGCCCTGTGTGGGGCTCCGCACTCAGGAGGGAGTCTACTTGAGATTCTTTCCCTCTGCCCTTCCCTCCACTCACATGTGAGCTCTCTCTTTCTCAAATAAATAAATCTTTAAAAAAAAGAAGGAGCGTTTTGAAGATTTTGCAGTGCCACCATTCAGTACATATTAAATACCCATTATATAAAGCTGCTTGGCTTATCAGTGGTATAAAGAACCACTCACTAATTAACTACCCTTGCAAATCATCTTTACGTCTCTGTTCATTAGTTGCCTCATCTACAAAATGGTATGATTATACAAAATGATATTGGAGCTTATTGGTTTATTTGTTTTTAAAGTAGACAACCTTGTTCCTGTCTGAATTTATCCTCTTACTAACATTTCAGAAATGTTTGAAACTATTGAAGAACTATTCGTATAGTGTAGTAAAATTGGATTTGGATGGAAATTGAGAGAAAAGAGATGGTTAATCAGGAATTCATTGAGCCAAGGCCTGGTGCTTCAATGTTTTTGTTTGTTCTTAAACTATAGGCAGTTACTATCTATATTCATAAAATCTGAACATTTTATGTTAGATTAATTTAAAATAAAGAACTGAAGCAATTCAAAAATAAAAGTAAGGGTACCAAAAAAGTTAGCATTACATAGAGTGTGATCAGTACAGTCCAAATTGACCAAAAGGATAGTTGGTTTAAATGGCTCTCACAGGCAGTAGTGAGAAATCAAGCCTTTCTTAAGAAGTAATAAAAGAAATACTAACTTTTTTAAAGATTTTATTTATTTGAGAGAGAGAGAGAAAGGATGAGCTGGGGGGCGTGGCAGAGGAAGAGGAAGAAGCCGACTTTTCACTGAGCAGGGAGACCCATGTGGGGCTTGATCCCAGGACCCTGAGATCATGACCTGAGCTGAAAGCAGATGCTTAACTGACTGAAACACCCAGGCGCCCCAGATATTAACTTTTTTATAATGATTAAATAGTTACAGACACAAATTCCTTTTTTTCTTGGGATTACTACCTAAAATCATGTGTAATAATTGGGGTGCCTGGGTTGCTCAATTGGTTGAGTGTCTGGCTCTGTTGATTTATCTCAGGTCATGATCTCTGGGTCATGAGATCAGATTGGGCTCTGAACTCAGTAGGGAGTCTGCTCAAGATTCCCTCTCCCTCTGCCCCTCCCCCTGTGCACGCACGCTCTCTTTTTCTTTAAAATAAATAAATAAATCTTAAAAAAATTAAAATCATGGCTAATAAAAAGATACAAGTGTAGTGCTCTGAAGGAGCACATGCACCCCAGTGTTTATAGCAGCAATGTCCACAATAGCCAAACTCTGGAAAGAGCCAAGATGTCCATTAACAGATGAATGGATAAAGAAGATGCGGTGTGTGTATACACACACACACACACACACACACACACACACACACAATGGAATATTATGCAGCCATCAAAAAAATGAAATCTTGCCATTTGCGATGATGTGGATGAAACTAGAGGGTATTATGCTAAGCAAAATAAGTCAATCAGAGAAAGATGTATCATATGATCTCACTGATATGAGGAATTTGAGAAACAAGACAGAGGATCATAGGGGAAGGGAGGGAAAAATGAAACAAGACGAAACCAGAGCGGGAGACAAACCATAAGAGACTCTTAATCTCAGGAAACAAACTGAGGGCTGCTGGAGTGGAGGGGGGTGGGAGGGATGGGGTGGCTGGGTGATGGACACTGGGGAGGCTTTGTGCTATGGTGAGCGCTGTGAATTGTATAAGATTGATGAATCACAGACCTGTACTCCTGAAACAAATAATACATTATGTTAATGAAAAAATTTGGTTTAAAAAAAACATGGGTAATAATTCCTTGAAAAGGGAAAGGCAAGTTGGAAGGAAACACCTGGTTAATAAGGCCATACATGATATTTACTTACATGTA